CTTTCAGAGTTTTCTATCTGTCATGCAATGTTCTACTAGAGTCAGCCTGGAATTTGGTATCTTATTGCTACAGAAAGTCTGTTTTCTTCAGTCTTAATATCTCTGTTTTAATGTTTATGCTGATCAGCTGTGCCTGAATTCCAAAGAAAGGAGGATATAATGACGCATATCCTACCCCTGCTTCCATCATGACCTGAACTAGTTTTTTGGTTAATTTTGGAATGCCCTTGACTGAGGGGAGCATCCGTCAGTTGGTTGGAGGGCTTAGAATTTTACTTTTGGTTTACAAATAAGAGAAAAGATGTTAAGTACCTAAGAGAAAGGAGAAAGGAAGGTATGTTGGAGGTTTGAGCAGAAAGAAGGTATGAATAATCATCTGGCATCATGGGAAAATAAATGAAATAAGGAAATGAGCATGTTTGCCAGAGTTGTTTTGACTTATATTCATAACTTTAAAGTCAGAGTGTGAAAGGATTTGGAAGTGTGCATAATTAAGACATGAAATAGGAAGAATGATTCAACCAGATATTTGACAGCTGGTATTTTTTAGAAAAGCAAAATAAACAGTGGTCTACAAGTGTTGATATGGAGTAAGAAGGTAATCTACATCACCTCTAGGATCAGAGGCTTATGTGTTTTAGGAGACAAAATAGTCTACTCATGACAGGGCTGGAGAAGAACAAGTGAGAACATATTTTAAAATTAAGATATAAATATCAGGCTATCACAAATGATGATATCCCACATTAGAACAAATTAAAAAATTGTATATGCATATCAAAATTTTTGCCTCATTAACCTAGAGTACAGGTGTCAAATGATAACAAAGTGTTTAGTTTTATTTTTCATCCTGTCATTCTATCACTGACATTAAGATGGCAGCTTGATTTCCTATAATAGACATTTTTCTATCAAGAGATGAGACAGTGTTTTAATTTACTTGATCTTAAGGTTTTCTTATTGAATTCTTCCTCCCATCTCCTGGAGTGTTGAAATCAATATAATAGAGGTTTATTCAGGTGGCTAAATAGAACTCTCCAGCGATCACCTTTTCTTCACCCTAGGAACACCAAATTGAACAACTCAACTGTCTATGCAAGAAAGCACCTTTGTAAGAACCCCAAAATCTACTGTTTCTTTCATTTTCAATGGTCAATGTAAGCTTCACAAATGTCAGAAACATATAGGGCATGCTCTTTTCTATAGTCTTTGCATCTTCCAAAATGTTTGACTGATAGGAATTGCTATTATTTGCTAAATTAATGAATCAAGTTTGTATTATTCCCTATTACTTCATATTCTTTCTTTAATGAGATTGTAAGGTTCTTAAGGAGATGGATATGCTTTTATAATGTATATATATGTGTAAAATACATTATATATATGTGACTAAATAAATTAATGAGTTCTGGTGTCACTTTCCATGCCAGGTCATAAAAATCTTATCAAAGAGAAGCACTAAGAATATTCCACAATTTTTGCTTGTTTTCCTTTAATCTGATATTACTAGTCACCCCTTCCTTTTAGGCATGACATATTTGTGCATGATGATGATGTTTTAAAAATAACAAACAAATAAAATATTTTATTGATCTGCTCTTTCCTTAAGTCATTACCGTAGTCTCTCTCCCTCTTCACTGACATTTTGAAAGAGCAAACTACATGACTGTCTCTACTATCTTAACTTCATCCTTCAGTGCATAATAACCCACATCAATACTTTCTGTTCTGAAATTGTTTTTGCTGAAAGCACTAATATCTTCTTAATTGCAAATCCAAAGTCCATTCTCAGTGTTATATATGTTTGCTTTCTCATCAGCCTCTGACACAGTAGAGCACTGCCTGTAGACTTCTTTCTTTCTAGACCAGGATTTTTCCTGGACCTCATTCGGCATTAAAAACTTTCAAGCTGTTATTTCATCAAATTCTTCTCTATTTCTTTTAATTTGCTCATGTAATTCTAGGCGGTTTCCTTGATTAAATTAATCCACTTTCTTTTCAACTACCACCTTGCATTCTGAAGATTTATACCTATCACCTCCAGCTCCGTATGTCCAAATATTGCTATTGAATAAGTGCATTAGATACACTACATGAACCGTCAACTTGGCATGTCAGAATGAGAGAGATATCTCTCACCACACAGATATCTATCTTGGCTGCTGGAGAGGGTATATATCTAGTTCCCCTATCTAGAAGCCTTCCCTCTCTCACACCCAACAATCAACGTACTGTCAGGTGATGACAATTTTACCTTAGAGGTATCTATAAATACAGGATTCCTTTTTCCACCTTTACTTCTGTTCTGTTGTCCATATCATCTCTTGCAATAATCTTCTAAATGATCTCCATTCCAGTAATTTCTGCCCACTCCAGTTCATCCTTTATTGTATCACCAGAATTAAAATGCCAAAACCCAAGACAGAGTTGATTGCTTCCCTGAGTTAAACCTCTGTTCATCTCCATTAAATAAGATATGAACTGATTCTGGAACACTAAGCCTTTTAATAGCATGTTTTCAAGCTATTCCTTTAGTCCTGTCTTTTGTTATTCTGGACTGACTTTCCAGTAGAACCCTATACTCCACTTGCATTGAATGTCTATTATATCCCAGACTTAGGCTCTTTTGAGAGTCTGAAATTGTTCATGCTTCCTTCTCCCCAAAGTAAGCATGTTATTTTCCTCATTTATTCATTGGTTGATTCAACACAAATAATATTGAATGACACTATGCAGTTATTATTCCTCGAAATGAATTTATGACATAGAAGGTGGGGGAGGAAGATATTGAACAATCACTGTAATGAATGCAAAATTTAAAACAGAGATAAGTACTTTGAAAGAAAATAATATGACACCATAAGAAAGTCTGTAAAAGGTTTTTGATCAATCCTGGGAGGAGGAGATGGTAGTCAGAAAGGATTAAAATAGGAGAAATAAATGGAAATTAACTAGGTAAGAAATGGAGGAATGGACATTCCTGAAAAAGGGAACAGAGGGAAAACTTGTGTGGATGGAACACAGAGATAAAGTGGGGAAGGTGGCGGGTAATGAAGTTGAACTTGTAGGCACAGGACAGGCATAGATACAGAGTATAGGTATCCAGGTTAAAAATACCGATATTAATCCTAACATCAGTGGATGCCCTCAAAGGGGATTAAGTACAGACGGGTACACATTACATAATTGGATTTGACTGTATTCTAGAGAATAGTTTAGAGAGGGATGAATGAATTAATGCACTGAGAAACAGTAGTGTGCTGTTGCATTGGTCTGGTAGAGAGATAACGGTAACCTGAATGACAGTGGTCAGATTGGAGACGGTGAGAAGTGGAAGATTCCAAAAACGTGTAGGAGGTAAAAATCAAGGAGACTTCCTGATAGATTGGATATGAAAAATGAGGGAGAAGGAGAAAAATTCCTTCTTCCTTGTGTATCAGACTAGTTCTTATCTTTTAAGACTGCTCAGATATCACCTATGCAAGTTAGCATTTTCTAACTATCCCAGTAGCAATAAGAAGGGAGCTCATGTCTTTCAGGTTCTTTTGGCACAATATTCAGATCTCTGCACTTAAAGTAACTTCCCTCCTAAAATAACTGTCTGCTCAATGGAGAATGGGTTTCATGAAAGCAATGACCATGTTTCATTCTTTTTTTTAAATATTCCAATATCTGATATCATACCAGTCATATAATAGATGTTCAATGAAATTGTTTATTGACCGGCAGAATAAATTTAAATGCCATAGATAATTAAAGCCAGCATTCATTAAGAATGCACTATTTTCAATAAAATAAAATTTCAACAGAAAGTTAAGAGCTAATACAGATACACTTTTTTTGTAGACATATCTGTGGAGATAGGTTTGCTCCATTCAAGGAACCATTAAATCTGAATTCTTAGAAAAACTATTTTTGTATCATGTGTACTTTTGAAAATTAAGGAAGAGTCAGTACACTCTATTTAACATTGAAATTGTGAAGAGGCAGAAGGATTCGAAATCATATTAAGAAAAATTTTCACTCACAATTTTTAGTTTTTATTCATTATCTCATATTTTTTCCAGTTCTCTTCTAAGAGCTTTTTTGATAATTGAGCAAATGATATATTAGCAATTATTCTAAAATAAATTAGAACTGTAACAGTATTCATTCCACTAAAAATGAGACATTTAAAAGTATTTCAGGAATGCTTTTTGGAATGCTATTAAAATATAAAAATGAAATAAATGAATGAAAGAATATTTTTAAGAGGCCTAATTTTTCAACAATGCTGCCTACTTCCTACAAGACAGTGCCCTCCTTTCCCAGTCATTCAAATTTTCTCATCCCTCAGTGAATCTCCAGGGGTGCTGCCTCTAACAGTCTTCATGTTCCTTTCCAAAATCAGGGAAGTGCTGGGATGTGTGTTGTTTTATTGAAATGAAAATTTCAGTTACATGTAACATAAGGATGTTTCAGCCAATAACAGACCATGTTTACTACAGCAGGTTCACGAGATTATAATACTGTATTTTTACTGAACCTTTTCTGTGTTTAGATATGTTTTGTTACACAGATACTACTCTATGTTACAATTTTGCCGATGGTATTCAGGACAGTAACATGCTGTACAGGTTTGTAGCCTAGGAGCAATAAGCTATACCGTATAGTCTAGGTGTGTAGTAGGCTATACTATCTAGGTTTGTGTAAGTACACGATGTTGTTCACCCAATGATGAAATCACCTAACAACGCATTTCCAGAATACGTCCTCATTGATAAGCAGTACATGACTGTATCCAGATACTGGCTGAAACAAATCAGGAATATGAATAGGAATGAAACATTTATGCAATAACTTTTATGCTTTCAACTATTTGAAATATAAATGCATATGGACAAGGCCAAGATTATATCTGGGGAAAAAGGAAGTTGTTAAGTTAGAGATAATGTTTTTACTTTTCACAAATGGTTTAATTTTTATTATTTTATTTTATTTTTTTTACAATAAAACAAACAATACTATGATGGTTGCATAGTTCAGCAGATTGAATCATGAAGAAATGTACCATGTGTCTGATGTATCTGGGGTGGTTGCGGTTTGCTGTTAGTAGTTAAGCAGTGTACTACCAATCTACCATTAAAATATTCTTTACTGACAATTTTGTATTAAAATTATAGAAAAAAAAAGAATAGCTGAAAGATAAATAAGGAAACTAAAGTTTAAATAAATTCGTTTTTTAGAGGAAAAAATCACCTATATAAAATTCACTTGTATAAGTGAGAAGACAGAAAGGCAACTGAATATTTCTCAATAAAATGTGATGCCTGTTTGTCATGAACTGTAAGAGCATAAATATGAAAAATCAAAAGGTTGTCTTAAACATCATAGTTTCTTACAGGAATATTTAGAAAAATAAATATTTTGGAATGTATGCTTGTGGAGTTCAATTTTATTTTGTAGTATTGTTTAGACTCAGAGTACATAGTATATAAATTTTGATTTCCAAAATGAGTTGCTATAGTAATATATAAGAATCTTAAAAACAGTCTGTATAAGAGAAATACATTTGAGTTTTCTTTTAAAACATGTAAGCATTTTAATCAACAATGAATAAGAATTCTGTCACTCTGCCTCTTCATCAGCAATGGGTACCACAGTCCCCCATTAAAGTCTTGGGGGATATGTTCCAAGGCCCCCAGTGGATGCCTGCAGCCTCAGATAGTATTGAACCCTTTTTATGCTTTTTCCTATACATACATACCTATGATAAAGTTTAATTTATAAATTTGGCACAGTAAGAGATTATAACAGTAATACTAAAACAATTATATCAATATACTATAATTGAAGTTATGTGACTGCTGTCTCTCAAAATATCTTATTGTACTGTAGATCTTAGCAAATTCAGCACACAATATTTTTCCTTTCTTATTAAGCCAAGTACTTAATGCTTTCATTTCAACAAAGCACATTATGGCTTCTCTTTGGCGTATCTGAATTGCCAGTATCACTACTTTTGTGCCTTGGGGCCATTATTGAGTCAAGTAAGGTTACTTGATCACATAAGCACTGTGATACTGTGACAGTCAATCTGAAAATCAAGATGGCAACTAAGTGACTAACAGGCAGATGGTGTATCCAGTGTGGATACAGTGGACAAAAGGATGATTAAGGTCACAGGAGGGCAGGTGCGAAATTTTATCATGCTACTCAGAATGGGATGCAATTTAAAACTTATAAATAGTTTATTTCGAGAATTTTTACCTTTAATATTTTCTGATCTCTGAAACAGTGAAAAGTGAAACCGTGGATAAGGAGAAACTACTGTATTGTCAATTTTTTCAATCATAGTTATTCTTTGAGGTGTGTAGTGGTATCTCATTGTTTTAATTTGGGTTTCCTACAGAAAAGTGATAGTGAGCATTTAAAAATCTGCTTATCTATCATATGCCTATCTTCTTGATGTCTTTGTTAAAATATTTTGCCTCTTTTTAAATTCAGTTGTTTCCTTATTGTTCAATTTTGTCTCTTTTTTGTATATTTTGGATATGAGAGTCATTTGTATATTTTGGATAGATGTCCTTTATGAGATATGTATTTTTAAAATATTTCCTCTCAGTCTGTTGTTTTATTATTCTCCTAAGTGTCTTCTAAGTGTCTTCTGCAGAACAGACTTTTTAAATTTAAAAGTCTAACATCAAGTTTTTCTTTCATGCTTTTGGTGTATGTAAAAACTCATCACCAAGCCTAAGGTCATGTGGGTTTTCTCTTATGTTTTCCTCTCAAAGCTCTACAGTTTTGCATTTTATATTTAAATCTGTTATCCATTTTGAGTTAATTTTTGTTTAAAGTGTAGACTTGTAAGTTTTTTACTTGAGTAACACAGAATAATAACATTTACTAAGATGGGAAAAAAAAGTTTGGGGATTGGAGGTAGGAATACAGTTTAGATATGGACATGTTAATATTTGAAGACCCTACTTGACAAACATATGGTTAAGTAGGAAATTGGATACAAAGAGTTTAATTCTCATATTTCCACATACCAACACTATCAGAAGTCCAGGAGTCTGATTTATAACTTCACCAGCACCTCGAACTCTCTATTTTCCCACCTCCCTTTCTTTCCCCTACAAGTTTTCAATCCCCATTTTATGTTTTCAGGAGTTTGTTATTACTTATAATACTCTTCAAAGTTGTTATTACTTATAATACTCTTCAAAGTATGTGTAGGGTTGGAGTTCATCATGACTATGTCCTATTTTAGTGCTTAGTCTGTGGCAGAGATGCTTTGGCTGATGAAATCTGACCTTGGTGTGTCCTATTCAAAGTATAAAATAAGGCTGGGCAGTAGTTCACATCTGTAATTCTAGCACGTTGGGAGGCCGAGGTGGGAGGATTGTTTGATGCCAGGAGTTGGAGGCTGCAGTGAGCTAAAATTGTACCACTGCACTTGCCAGGTGACTTGGAACTAAAATTTGTTCAACTCCAGTGAGACTTGCTGACATAAAAAGAGATAATATGCTTCAAGTACCTAGTGCTACGCATGGCACACAGTAGACACTCACTAAATGACTGGTTATTTCTCTTTCCCCATAGATGGGACACTGTGCACTAAACATCTGAAGACCAGTTGCTCAAGTGAAAAAGAATGACCTGATGTATTTCAGATCAATATTATACATATAATAAAAACTATGAAATGCTAAAAGCTTAGCTGCAAAGATAAAAGGCAAGAAGCTTGTTGGTGAGGTTGTGGTAGCAACTGAATATATGAAAATAGATTGGTACAATCACTGGATTCCTATAACTCAATTAAGAGTTGGAAGTAAAGTGTAATTCTGATGCTGTTCATGTTTTAAAGTAGAAGGATAATATGTTAAATTAATAAATTAATAATAGATATTGGTATACTTATAGAAATGGATTGTCACAGTGTCTATCTTTGAGGGATTAATTGGAACAAAAAGGTATTTCATGAATTACGTAGCTCCAGAGATATCTATTAGTAGAAAAAGATTGAAAATGAAAACATAAATTTCTATTTACTACACAGTGAGATAAATGTTTTATGTTAAGAGCTCATCTCATGCATCCCTGTGACATCAGTTTTCTTCAGTATCTGCCACTCTCAGTTTTATTTCCAGCTGGAATCTCTTTTCTGAGTTCCACAACTAAATAACTGTACCAACTAGACATCTCTTTTTGAATTATTCACAGGCATCTTAAATTCAGTCTGTGTAAAACTGAACTGGTGAAATTGCTCTTTAGACCTGCTCCTCTAGTGTTTCCCATCTTAGCAAATTGCACAATCATTTCCATGCAATTGCTCCAGCTGGCAACATACAAGATATCACTGACTTTTCCCTCTTTTTTATTTCGATCAGTTACTTCAAATTCTTATTATGGTCTCCAAGGCTCTGCATAACATTCCTCACTTTTACGATTACAGTAGACTGAACCATTATAACAAAGAAATCTCCCAAAAAGTAAGGGTTCAAATAGTAGAAAATTATTTCTTTATCTTATAAAAGTTTAGGGTAGATGTTTCAGATAAACAAGTACTTGGCTCCACACTGGGACACAAACTGATGAGATCTGCAATCTCTAATACTTAGTTTCCAAGGTCATTCTGAGCATGACCCAACAATCACCCTGAAAGAGAAAGAGCATAAATAAGCATGCATGGATATGCTTCATGAGTGAAGCAAGGAAGTGGAACATATTTCTATTCTCACTACAATGGAAAGAACTTAGTTACAAGGCACACTTCATTGCAAGGAAGGCTGGGAAATGTAATGCATTTGGACACCCATATTTCCAGCAACTATTAAGGGATGACAACCTGCTAGCTGCCCTCGCTCGCTCTTGGCGCCTCCTGGGCCTGGCAGTCCACTCCGGCCGTGCTTGAGGAGCCCTTCAGCCCACCGCTGCACTATGGGAGCCCCTCCCTTGGCTGGCCAAGGCCAGAGCCGGCTCCCTCTGCTTGCGTGGAGCTGTGGAGAGGCACGAGCAGGAACAGGGGCTGCGCGTGGCGCTCATGGGCCAGTGGGAGTTCCAAGTGGGTGCAGGGTGTGGGGGATCCGCGGGCCGCCACTTGGGAGCTACCAGCTAGCACTACGGGCCCTGGGCAGTGAGGGACTGAGGACCTTGGCAGGGCTCAGGACCTGCAACCTGCTGCGCGCAAGGCCTGCCCCCCACAGCCCCAGTGGGCTCCCACACAGTCCGAGCCTCCCCAACAGGCACCACCCCCTGCTCCAGGGTGCCCCATCGCATCCACCACCCAAGGGCTGAGGAGTGCGGGTGCTGGCGTGGGACTGGCGGGCAGCTCTGCCTGCAGCCCCAGCGCTGGATCCACTAGGCAAAGCCAGCTGGGCTCCCAAGTAGGGTGGGGACTTAGAGAACTTTTATGTCTCCCTGGAGGATTGTAAATGCACCAATCAGCACTCTGTCTAGCTCTGGGTTAGCGGATGCACCAATCAGCACTCTGTATCTAGCTAATCTAGTGGGGACTTGGAGAACTTTTATGTCTAGCTAAAGGATTGTAAATGCACCAATCAGTGCTCTGTGTCTAGTTCAAGGTTTGTAAATGCACCAATCAGCACCCTGTCAAAAAGGAGCAATCAGCTCTCTGTAAAATGAACCAATCAGCTCTCTGTAAAATGGACCAATCAGCAGAATGTGGGTGGGGTCACATAAGGGAATAAAAGCAGATTGCTGGAGCCAGTAGTGACAAGCTGCTGGGGTCCCCTTCCAGGCTGTGAAAGATTTGTTCTTTTGTGCAATAAATTTTGCTGCTGCTCTCTTTGTGTCCACACCGCTTTTATGAGTTGTAACACTGACAGCAAAGGTCTGCAGCTTCACTCCTGAAGCCAGTGAGACCACTAACCCACCAGAAGGATTTTCCATGAACCCACCAGAAAGAAGAAACTCTGAACACATGCGAACTTCAGAAGGAACAAACTCCGGACACACCATCTTTAAGAACTGTAACACTCACCGCGAGTGTCCGTGGCTTCATTCTTGAAGTCAGCAAGACCAAGAACCACCAATTCTTGACATACTGTGGAAGATAAGGAAAAG